TAGGGTATAAATTTAGTAGTACACCAAAGTAGAATAATATATAAGAAGAAAATAAGAAGTTATGCTTTGGTGTATTACTGTTGATAGGTAGAAAAAAGATCGATATGATAGTATCCTAAAGTATTCTGGAGTAGTAACTATACAGGAAAGAGTTCTAGGAATGTAAGAGCGAAAAATAAGATATAAATTTAGTAGTACATCAAAGTAGAATAATATATAGGAAAGAAAATAAGAAATTATGCTTTAGTGTATTACCGCTGATAGGCAGGAAAAAGGTTAGGAAGGCAGAAAGGTTCAGAAAGATGCACAAAAAAAGGGTATAAAAGATCAATATAGTAATAGCCTAAAGTAATCAAATATAGGGGTACCCCAAAGTAGCAACTATATGAGAAAGAATTCTAGAAAGGCTCAGGCGAAAACTAAGGTATAGATTTGGTAATACACCAAAGTAGAATAATATATAGGAAAGAAAATAAGAAATTATGCTTTGGTATACTATCGCCAATAGGCAGGAAAAAGGTCAGGAAGGCAAAAAGGCTCAGGAAGATGCACAAAAAAAGGGTATGAAAGCAATATAGCCTAAACTAATTTAGCACTTTGTGCCTCATCCTTGGCAATCACGAAAGGCAAGATTGTAAGAATAGCGTAATACTGGCATTTCGCAAAAACTTAACAAAATACTAATAAATAGGTGCACGCAAATTGAACTTTTTTACATATAGTACTCGTATGGATATTACCATGCCTGATATTTACTCTATATTCGATTAAGATGAAATATGATAGAAACACTTATGGAATATGAATATATTTTATAAAATGAATAAGATAAACATTATACTTATTTGTTTTGTAATAATGGTCTAACAACATTTCGTAAAATTATATATTGAATCACATGATAATAATTTGAACTCTAGAGATGTGAAAATGGCATACTTATACTAGTGTAATAGTTGGTCGCAAATGATACACTTCTGGCAATCAAATGGGTCAAGCTAAGGAATATAATAACTCAGCATTCAAACAAGCATATGAAACTGGTGAACTAATAGAACTATACTAGTTCCTTATTTCCCCTCTAAATCACTTCTATAATGCTACTATAGTTTCAGGTGGGATCGTCCCATATAAGAAAAACAGTTACATAATTTATTAAAAATTTTTTTATATAGTATAAAGTAATTTTTCAGGGGTCTTACATTAGCACATTCTTGCAATGAATTGTGGGTAAATAAATTAGACAAACTTGAAGCTTTTGCATCATATTATAATAATAACTGTTAAATCCACTTAAATTCAACAACTTTTATAACACAATTGACCCGATAAAAACATATCTGAAAAGAAGTCTTATACAGAATGTAAAACAACCGAGTCAACTAGATTTCACATGTTGAAAGGAAATAAATGGAAAGAAGTCAAAAATAATAACTTGGTGAAAGCAACATAGACGGAAGGTATTGTTCTATGTAATATTTGTTATATAAATTTTGTAGAAAACCCTTTAAAAAGAGGATTTAAAAGAGCAAGAACTATGACTGAAGAAGTTATGAGTGAAGCTGTAGACGAAAATGCCACAGATAAAGAAGAGATAAGTACGAAGATTGATCTTACTAAAGCCATCAAAGCGATAGCAAAAATCTTTTATGAAAGAGAGCATTTAAGGAATGAAGGTCCTATATATGAATTTGATGAAATGCAGAGATTGCTTCAGGAAATTGAACTAAGCTTGAAAGATTTTTTTGACCAACTTTATTTAGCAGCTCGACCACTCGAACATAACGAACAAATAATAGGCCATATGAAAAATTTAATGGTATTCATTTGTTATATTCTTGCTTCTTTAAATAATACAAAAATTAATTCTTTCAACTTTGATCTTGCATTCTATTTAGATTTGGTAGGTACAAGTAATGAAGGCTTGAATACAATGGCAAATCTTGGAGCGACTACAATATCAAGATCGGTAGATCGTAAGAAGAAAGAAATTTCAGATTCGTATGGAAAATATGTAGAAAATGCTATTGCAAAATATTCAGAACAGGCTTTTGTGTTGAATATTGATGATTATCACAATATTCACATTCAACGGCAATCTGATACAACTAGTACATCTTGGGCAGCATATATGGCAACAATCGTAATGAATCCTTGTCCCATGTCAGTGATACCACGTGATAGGGCATTTAATCCAAAAATCATCGACGATAAGCTGATTATGAAGCATTTTGATAATTGATTTATTGCAAACCTTAGAATCTCTTATAATGATTGTATGCGAGACTATATAGGTAAAGAATGTACTGATAATGAGCTCATGAACAGATTAATATTGCACAGTTATAATGATAGGTTAATGGAAAGAAAAACTAGTCAGCATGTGAAAAATGCTATTCTTTTTGATTTTGTTGAGAGTAGTTTGAAAGGCATGGAAGATTATATAAAAGCTCTCCAAATCGTTCATGATCAAGAGCCAATGCAATCGTTTCTTTCCGATTACGCAATTTCCATCATTGCAGACTGGCCTGGTCAGTTTTATATTCGTAAAGCTATTGCACACTGGCTTCTTCTCAACAACGAATTGATTCCTTCATTTGTTACAACTTTTTTGCCTATGATGGGTCCTCTTCATGTATTGTTGAATACTCGAGAGCTTGTTTTTTTGAAAAATTCACATTTGTTCAATGATATCTACAAAGGGATATTCGGAATGCATAAGGATCTTGGTAAGAAGTCACGGCCATGGCAAATTGATTTAATTCTTCACATAATATGCATGGCGTGACTTGATATAGATAACATCATTTTTTTCAAGTTTGGTCGTTCATGCAAGAATATCGAATTTTTATATTTAACTGATCTTTTGAGCTATTTAATCCCTTTAGTCCTTGATGTTTATGCAATGCACTACTGAGAAGGTAATTGGCCAGCCTATGAAGAAGCTTATATGCAGTGTTAGAGTGATCTTTTTCTTTGATTTGACCGAAGAAATTATAAACGTGCTCCTTTGATGTTCTTCTCTGATATATTTTATTGGATAGAGATGAATAATCCGATGATTAATATAGTTATTAATTGCCTTGCCTCTTTAAGTGATTGTTCTATAAAAATCATTCACAGCATCATTCGATGACGTACAGCTAAGTTCTTTACTGCATAATAATTGCAAAAGGAGGTTCATTTTATTTTTTAGCATCGAAAGGATAATACTTTTCGACAGCATTTTGTGAATTCTGTGAAATATCCATATACGCTAAAGCAACTGCATACACTTTTCCAAAAGTATTCTATATTACTTTTAGATGTATTTACAAAAATATACCAAGCATGACATCAGTATCCTTCAATTATTAAGACATTATCTGATGGAATTAACTCGTATAAGTTGCCTTCTTTAGGTTACGAAATAACTGACCGTCACATTTCGTAAGGTTTTGTTACCTCTAAAAAACCCCTTACAGTCGTCTTGTGTGATTATTCATATTGTGATCATACTAATTATTTGAATGATTGTAGTGTTCTTGCATGTGGGTATGGTTACCATAGCCATTGTCTACAAAAATATCAGTCTAAATGTTTGTTATGTTTAGACTATCTTCAGGTTGAAATTAAAAAAAATATCAATGCATTAAAGGAAAGTATGACAAGAAAATTAAACGAGAATGAATTTATTGATGAGAACAATGAAAATATAGTTGATGATGATTCGGGAAATGTTGAAGCGGCAACGGATGATGTAGCAACAATGGAAAATTTGTTAGAACACGCAAAAAAAACATTTTTTGAATTGTAAAATTTATTATTTTTATTGAATAAATTTTCATATCTATTGTGTCAATTTTTTTGCATATTATATATACAGAATATTTTATTCTCAAATGCTTTTATTTTGTTTTAAATATCAATAAAACTATAAATAACAACTCTTATATAAATAATTCTTGCATATTTACATTTAAGACACATAATAAAAGGTATTAAAAATATTTTAAGATACATAATAAATGGTTTTTTTTTAAATAAATCAATAAGATTTTTTTAAAAAGTTGCGAACTTTTTTTTTTATATTATCCAAAATTCGCGATTTTGATTGGTCAATCAACAATTACAAGGGTTAAAATTTGTGTAACCAGGACGGTCCCACCTGGAAGTTATACACATTTAAAAAATAACCCCTGATATGAGCGGGATATGCAAATGCTTTATTATATATTTGAAAATACATATAAACGAAATTCTGTTTTTTCTGGTGGTAGAGTCTGGACACAGTGTCTGGACTCGACTTAATTGCGTAGAAGAAATAGTGCAGTATATTAACAAACCTTCCGTTTTAAGATTTTGGCCATTATATAATCCTTTTCATCCTTAGTTAGATTTAAGATGAACGTAGAATTAAGTGCTTGTAGTATGAGTGATATTTCTAGATTACTTAAAATTCAAAATATTATAGACGGAAAATTTGGAGAAACCGTTACTATTGGTAACGATCTGAATCATATGACTTTTGAAACGATTTCTCGCATATATATTACATGCAAAATAAGATGCCGATATGAGAAGATATACAAATGCTCCTTCGAAGCTATGCTTTTTCAAGGTGAAGCAGAAAAAAATTATAAAGCTATTTTATTCGAGAATATTTTAAAAGTTATCACCCTGCAGGCTAAAGATCTAATTCATACTATTTTTGATTTACCAATACTATATTAAAAAGCTTATAGACTTTCTCAGCCCTTTCCCTCTTTCGCAAAAGCATTAGAAAATTTTGTTTTACCTTTGACAAGAGCACGAGCCCTTCCCTACTATGATTGGGTTTTAACTTAAGTATAAAGCTTGTTTATAAGACTTCTCATGCTTAATGCAAATTTTTTATTTGTGGCTTATTACAAATATGGAGTGAAAAAATACGAAAGATTATACTACGAAAGACTATTAGACAATTTGTTTCAACGTTTAATGTTGAAATCAATTGTTGAAAATTTTACTAATACACCAGATTACAGCTCATACAGGATCTTTCCCTTTTCCCTCTCCCTCTTCCCCTCCCTTTACTCACTTCACTATTCTCTTTTAATACTATTGGTAAGAATTGTGAAAAGGTAACAACTCTAGATCGTCCCAGTGTAACCCCAGTTGCATACTTGATTCTAGGCTTCACAATGCGTTGCTGACTTTCCCTTTCAAACTCCTTAAACTTCTTAATCTTTTGATAATATTGTATCGTAAAACCAAGAGTGTTCGGATGAGTCTAGGTACATGTTCTAGATTGGTGTTGGAAATTGGGATGTGAGAGCTGGGATTGTAAACGGCGAAAAAAAGTACAAGCCGGGCCCAATGAATATTATTTGTCCAATCTCAACTTT